CCCGGGGGGGCGGTGCCGGGGGCGGGCAGTTTCGCGCTAAGGCCGCGTGAGGTGTTCGGAAGGGGACGATGAAATCGGTTATCTCAGGTATGTGCTTACGGACCGGTGAGTAGCTCGGGGTCTTTCAGGGGAACGGAGGCGGCCCCCGGGCCACCGCGTCGCCGCTGAGATGTGCCGCCAGTGGTGTCTGACCAGCCGGTCCGGCCCTGCTGCCCCGGGCCACGGCACGACCACCTAGAAAGGAAAAAGCTTTAGTCGGATTTACTTATGTGACTTTTTTTATTTATATGACAGGCGTTGTTTCTGTCGTATTGTTGCTGTATGAGTCACTTCGATGAGGTTGAGCCATGTGCCGTTTATATGCAGTACCTGGATAATTGTATTTCGATTTTGAAGCATAAATGTCACGCTCTTTTAAGTAGAGGATGAGAAGGCAACCGATGCCTTCCAAACAACGTACTCCGGAATAGGTCTATGTGTGTATGACAACTTCCAAAGATCTAAATCAAATTCATTGTTATACCAGCACTTTTTTACAATGCACTTCTTCTACAGCTGTATTCCAGGTATGGAGATGACAAAAAGCTAGAATGAGAGTGAAAAATCATACACTCAACGTCACCAGAATTTCACACCATGTTCAAATATGTTCCAAACAAAACCAAACCAAACAACAATAACAAAAAAAAAAACCAACCCAAAGCCACCTCCCTGGCTACTCTACAAGACCCAAAAACTCCTGGTCTTAGAAGTTCAGGCTGAGATGTGCCCCAAGCACATAAACAGTATACGGGATAATACATATCTTCTTTCAGAAGAAGCAAAGGGACAGCAGCCCTACAAAGTGCTAGATAAATACTGCAAGTACCTGCTGTAATTATCCCTTTCTAAGCCCTTCTATAATCTCCCTCCCTCCTAGGGGTTCTGCTGCTTACATTCAAGGGCCCAGATCCTGCACGGAAGTACAGTTCATAATTTTGAGTCATGGGAGCAAGAGAGATGAATAAAGAGGGAAGCATGAGTTTGAGGAAGCGGAGGTGGACAGTCAGGGATATGGAATGAAAAGTCTTTGTTTGGAGAGACATCAATGCAAAATGGCAGGCAGAGGGAAAGGCAAATACCAGCCACACAACCAGCGTTAAGTTCATTTGTCAAAGTACTTGGCCACTCCATTGGAAACGTGACCTGTTTGCACTAAAAATGTAACAGCATGTTTCCATTAGCAAGAAGTGTGACTGGAATTAGTCAGGATATCTAATAATACTACATGCTCAGCACAGAGGAAAATAATGTGATCGTGCTGCATTAACAAAACAAATGCATTAAAAGCTGCTAAAAGTTGCCATTTACTTTACTATTACCATAAGTGGATATTCTGGGCTCCAAAAGGACAACAGAAGCAAATTTAAAAAAAAAAAGCAAGCAGAAATCTTCCCCTTAGATCTGGCTTATCAAGGATGTTTATATGTAAAGAATTATCTTTGAATATATTTTACACTTGTGTTTCTTACAGTGCAGTAATTGAGGCATATCTGAGACACTGCAGGCTCTCACCGCACAAACTTTAAGCACTGGGAAACAGCAGCTTTTCTAGACACTGCCACCTTGCTTTTCTTGATGGCTGCTTAGGAAGGAGCCCTATTTTTTTCCTGGTACAACTAGAAGTACAGTAAGGAAAAGATCAATTGCTGTATTGAAGGGAGTGACCTTTTAAAGGGTTAGGACAGAAATTCTGCAAGTAGCTTAAACCTTCAAAAGTATATTCTGCTGCTTGCGTAACCGGAAACAGTTTCTTCTGTTTTAGGAATGAATCCCAGTATAATAGTTTCCAGTATAATAGTTTTGATGTCTTTTTTTTTTTTAATGACTCATTCTCCCACTGAGAAATATTGTTACTCCCCACTCCCATTTAAACCTTATTTTTTAATCATGTAACATTTCTGTTGTTTACCATACAAAGTATGGCATAGTTCCATAAAAGTTAATCTTTTGGTAAAAAGGTCTAAGTACCCGCTTTTACAAAACCTTTGGTTCTTTCCCCCCAGTTCTGTTCCTGCTGGCTGAAAACTACCAGCAGCCTACCTCCACCCACAGTCAGCAAGCACTCCATAACACCACTTTTACCTCTCATGGTTTTTTTCAGTAAAAAACTAAAACTAGATTCCTCAGAGATAACTCAAGAAACAAATGTGGTGTTTCTGAGCAAAAATACAGCAAATGAGCAAATAGTTTCCAGAATACAAGTAAAACTCACAGGAACTTGCTATCATTTTGGAAGAATGCAGGTTGCCCTCTCCATTACCTTATACTAGTGGTCTAGTCCAGGAAGTAGTGTAAGCCCATTTTGAAGCACGCCAAAATACACTATTACACTTTGGGTTTCTGCTGCAGAGCCCACCTTTATCCCCCCTCCCCCCAAGATCTGCTGAACGCGCTCAGCAATTACATCCTGTACAGTAATGCTACTCCCTAGAAATACCATGTAGTCATTGTCCAGTTTTATCCTCCCACCTGTCTCACACCAGCCAAAGCCAAGTCAATGCCAGCATGCTGATCCACAGCAATGATGTTCCTGTGCTGACACATCAAAAAAGGCAGCTTTTAAGTCAGTACTATTTCTTCAGAATGTCTTACGTGAATTATTCAATCACTGGAAAAGAATTATGAGGTAGTTTGAAATCCAACTCTAGTAGTCTCTGCAGACCTTCAACACACCCATGAGAAAAGTCAGAGCACCCTGTGGCAGAGAAATGTAATATGCAACTGCGCATCCAGAATGGCACATGACTTCACAAAAGCAAAGCTATGAGAATGGACACCTGAATCAAAAAAGCTCCTTGATCAGGAGCCTGTTAAAAAAAAAAAAAAAGCCTATTACAAGAAAAAGCATACTAATACAGACCTTTTAGAATAAGTTTATTAGTGAACCGCAATTACAAAATTTAAATATTTATACAGCAAAATGGAAAATTCTTAAGTAACCAAACACTTCAAACTATTTTGCTGCAGTATACACAGGAATGGTTTTGTTTCTTTTACGAGTCGATGCAATATCATCCTGTAGTTACTCAACAACTTCTTGAAGGCATGTTTAATTTTGAGAATATATTTCACATCTGTCAGTGCAATATACAAAGAAAAAAATTCAAAACCACACTAAACTGATTCCAAAAATAAAAAGGAAAAAAAAAAAAAGAAAAAAAGACAGGCACATTGAAGTCAGATACTCTGTAAATAGCTCGTGGTTAATACTGTTTGTATGTGTTGCCATAGTTCAAAGGGTACAGATTAAAATGTTGCTTTGATACACAAACATAAACATGTTCCAAGTGTTGTAGTTTGTTTTGCAAAACATACACGAAGTCCCAAAATTTTTTAAAATCTTCTGTACAAGAGAAGAAATACAAAGGCAGCCAGAAATGGAAGCAATTCACAAACACCAGAATAAGGCCCTTCAGAGTTTATTTAAAGTAACATGTTAAACCCCTTCATTCTCAGGTAATAGATTAAGAGGTCGAGATACACATCGTCTGCGAGGGTGAGGATACTGGATGGTGGCACTGTCAGCATCGCAAGAGTGCTCTATCAGAGGAGGAGGAGGAAGGAGCTGGGCATGACTGGACCATCTCGATCCAGCCCGTGGGGAATCCAGAGGGGGAAAGAAATACCTGAAACAATTAAGAAAGGAACAAAACACCAAAACAAAAAAAAAAAACAAACAGAAAAAAAACAACAAAAAAAAAACAAAACAAGAAAAAGAGAAAGGTAGTAAATACAAGGAGAACCAAAGGGGAGAAAAAGACATGCTGGAAAAAAAAAAAGGCTTTAGTATATCCATGCCAAAACCAATAGAACATAATAGCAGAAATTAAGGCTTGTAATTCAAAACAAGACAAATCTGGAAACTGTTCTTTAAAGGAAAATAATACAGTCTTTTCCACTGAAATTCACAGAAAAGGATACCATAATAATAATCCTAGTATACACTTTTACAAAAGAACAGATTGCTTTGGAAATCAAAAGGATGTCATAGCACAGCTATTAACAGGCTTTCATTCTCCCAGAATTCCTGTGATTTGTTAACAGAGCTTTTAGTAATGCTTCATTTGCGACACAGGATATACATTAAATATTATTTATGTACATTTTCTGCATATGCATCTAATTCAGATTAACTTCACAGCACTTCTAGGATAGACGTAAAAACATCATTGTTTTTACAACACTTTAAATTTAATAATATACATTTACAGAGAGTAACTACTTTCAATGAAATACAGTCTTTGTACGTATCTACATATTTCTGCAAAATCCTCAGAGTAAATTTAAGATTCCTGGCGAATGCAAGACTAAGAATTATGCCATTTCATGTCATTTTTCTGCTGTTTTTATTAGAACTTACCCGTAATACTTGTGCATTTTAGTATAACTGTATTAGATACCTACAGGTGTTTTCTGTCTTGTTTACAGTTCCGTGGGCTTACATAAAGGAACAGCTATACGATTAATGAAATTATGGGACAATTCACAACGAGCTGCATTTTGGTTTCCATCTTTATATGGCTCAAGTGTTTGTGTTTTTTAGGATACTATGCTCAGAGAATTTTAATTAGTTGATGGAATTATTACCATAGGAATGTACAAGTACATATCAGAAAAAGTACTTCTCTTAGTTAGGATGAAGAAAGTATGACAGTACTTACAAAACGTTTATTTGAAGTCATACTAAGTTATAAATGAAGCAATACCGAACTATTAAAAGCTACCATCTGTACAATTGTCAAAATACAGTTTTCTTATTCCTTTAAAACTAACAATTTCAAATATTACAAAGCAGTTACAAACTTGTGATGTTTAGGAATCTTAATCAAATGCTGAATGCTATGAAATGCAAAACAAATTAGTTATCAAAACAATTTTAATGAAAATAATTTTAATGGTCATTTCCCTCCTCCCATCCCAATCAAGGACAAAAATTCTCATTTTTAGTCATAAACTAGTCTTTTAATGTGACAAGCTTTCAAAAAAAGTGTTTTGATGGAAGTTTTGGGGTTTGGATTGTTGTTTGTTTGTGGTTTTTTCCCAAACAAGAAGCCTCTCCAAGTATTTTTCTATCAGGAGTTCCAACAGTATCAAACTGTGCGGACTAGTACAAAAAACGTACACAACGTGTTTTAAAAAGGCTTTTTGAATAGCATTTAGTAGTTAGCAGGCTGCTGGTGTCTTGGGAGAGGTCAAACGGCGTTGGGGAGGGGAAAAAGGAGTTCGTTTTCCATTCCTGTGTGCATGCAACAAGCAGCAAAACACCAAAGTTACTCCAGTTAGCTTGGTATCAGCTCTGCTTTCTGTTAAAAAGGACATAATACAAATGGAGAATGGAAATTGTATCATGAATCTAGACACACAATTACATCAACATAACAATACAGCCTTACTGACTTATTTTCCAACAATCTACATCATCTGTTCTGAAACGATTTTGATTACAAATCCAGTTTGGTGGTCGTACTTTAACACAGTTTTCCAGATCTGCCTATGCTTTATCTGTTTTAAGTGTTTAAATGTATAGGAACTGAAACATAGCATCTACAGTCACAGACAAAATAAATTGTGTAGCATACCAATTTAGTCAAATGTCAGTACATAAATCTTTGTAAGTGTTAATACACTAAAAAAAAGTTAGCAACTGTGCTTATGCAACTCAAGCCAATGTGATTACAGAAGAAAGTATGTAGTTAAGTGCATCTTTTTTTATAGTAAGGCTCAATCCTAGGACAAGACACCATGTATTTTGAAATTAGCCATGGATTTAATTCTTTAACAAAACATTAATTCCAAATTGGAGCCGAGAATACTTTATTAAAACAAGAAAAAAACTCACACCACTTTCAAAATACAGAGCAATGGAGGGAGTCTAAAATAATGCTAGAAGTTTCAGTTTCACAATGGCTTACTACCAACTTCAGGGAGAGGAGTGGGTGGGGTAGGGTAGTCTGGCTGGCAGCAGCACAGTCTTAGGTAAGGAGGCTGTGAAACCACACCCCAGGCTAAAGAGGCATAAAATGGCCTCTATCTCCCTACAGGAGCCCAAGCAAATACAGTTAAGTAGGTGTGGATATCACATTTCCAAGACAGGACTGCATTTCAGTGTTTTTTGCTACACTGTAAGTAGCACCTGGAAACAGATGACTATCATTCTGGCCTCCTTTCTTGCTGGAGACTGGGCCCATTACCACCTCTTGCTCTCCCATTTATCTTGTGAGGGAAATGTGAAAGCCCTTCCCTGTTCAACGCAGCTAGGGATCTGGAAGCCAGAACTGCCATTCAGGATTGGCTGCTGAAGGCAGGGGTGAAGGCTACTCTTCTAAAGCAAATGTCACAGTACTTTACAGATGAGCATTTTAAACTGAAAAAGCGCCATACTAGTAGCTGTACATGGATGGAAATGGAGGCCATCCCAAGGCATTTGAAAAAAATAAAGGTGGCCACTAAACTTGGAAGCTGCTGCTATGGAATTTGGCCGCATCTAGTCCTTACATAGGACACATCCTGTAAAGTTGATTGTACACACTCCACCATGCAAATGCAGGGCAGTGTATTTCTAGAGTTCGGTGTGTGCAAATTAAAATGGTTTTCAGAAGAGGCAGTTATATTTACCTACTAAACAGCAATTATTACAGAATAAAAACAGAGAAAGCAAATCAATCCGCAATAAGAATGCCATATGAGGAAGACTAAAAAAAAACCAAACTTTTATTCAGTTGATGTTACACCTGCAAAAATGCAAGTAAACTAACACTAGTATATGATTGTTGAAACCATACATTATGAAGTATCTTTTCCTCCTTCCTTTCTGCTACATTATCCCAGTGAAAAACAGAATTTGTTGCTGGTATTTTTGCTTCACTTCTAAACGTGCATCTAAAACAGAAGGGCAGTTACACAGCAGTATGATGAAGTTTCTCCTTGTTTGAAACTATTTCAGAAAAGTTATTTTTAATCATGCAAAGGACTAAAAGTGAAAGTAGTTGTTTACATTGCTTATTCATACAGAATGATTCAGTATGACTTAGGTTTCATTCATTTTCCTCTTAACGCTGGCATAACAGACACCATCACAGAGCAAGACTAGAATAGCTTGTAGAAGTACTCATGCAATAAATGACACTGCACTTTAAAAAAAAAAATTATAAAGCAAACATGAAAGCTAAGTGAAATTAAGAAGATTCAGAGAAGAGAGTATTTACTGAAATTCAATCTCTCTAGGAATTAACCTACCTGCTGGCAGATGATCCGTTTAGTGAATTCTGTAGACTTGTATTGGCTGAACCTAGAGAGGCATTAAAAATTCCCTGCTGAGAACTACCATTCACTGGACTCCCGTTACCTTTCAGTATACCAGTACACTTCCAGTTGTCCATGTAATTAGCTGCAAATACAGATATATCAAACTGTTAGTTTCTCTTCTGAAGCTCAGCTTTTGATACAGCTATAATGTTTCAACTGCTACACACCTGTTGTGAATTAGAATTGAACTTAAATACCAATCTATAAATTCCAAACAGCTGAGGATCTGGCCCTTTAGCTGTCTGACATTCTCTGCCTATCCACAATTTAAAACTCAGTTTTGTTCAGTAGCAAGAATGAGTTTCCTTTATTAAAATACTGAGGAACAAATGAGAATGGATGAGGAAACTGCCACTGTTTTTGTTGTTGTTGCCTTTGGAAATTTAAACAGAAAAAAAGCCAGTTTGCCTGAACATTGTGACTGAATATAGATTTTCTGGTTTTGGCAGCAGGCAAAGATAGTAATGCAATACGTATGTTAATTTTAAAAATGACAGCTTTACATAGCTCTGGTGAAACAATTTGAGGGTATGGTAACAACTATTCACAGCAGCCTAAATCATTCAAGTGTTCCAGCACAGAACATTATTTGCTTTTTCTGAAACGTAAACAGAAATATAAAAATCTATCATTCACAAATCAAAAGTGGATTTTTGCTCCAAAATTATTTTTTGAGTAAAATTTCTCAAGTATATTCAGCATACTACAAAAGCTAGTGTATTTCAGGTGGGTGACCTTACCCTTCCAGAGCCTAACACAGCCATCATCACCAGAGGAGGCAAGCACTGTGCCTGTAATATTCCAGCTCACTCGCCACACCTGGGAGTTGTGATTATCAAACTGTGCCACAATATGAATTTCAAATTTTGTTAATCCTCCAGAAGAAGTTAATTCTTTCCTGTTTAAGAGAAAAGTGACAGTTCTGCACACAACTGTTCAAAGGTCTGGGCTTGAATACAATGACAAAAAGAGAGGACTACATCTTTCAAGGAGTTTATATAACAATTGTTACTAGATTAGGAGTATTAAGAGGTATTCAGACAAAATTATAGGCTTGCTCACAATCTTGTAATCTTAAAAATCAGGTTGCTAAAAAACAATCCTGCATACATTAAGTTACTACTTTTGCTTCACAGATACTATTAAAATAAGACTATATAGTATGCACCACATCATACCAAACTATCTTTCTTTTAAGCTCACCTTAGAGGTTTTAGTGTGAAAATTCGTACGTCTTTGGTTGCTACAGCTAAGATGTGGAAGGATCTTCCCAGATTTGGAGCAAATGCAATGTCATGTACAGGATCTGTGACTGTCATCAGAGCTTCTGCTTTTGCATATTTCCTGTACAGCATAAGAAACTAACCTTTAGTGCCATCAAAATGGCCAGTGATGCAAATTATATAAACCAGACATAGTGGAACAGGGAAAAAGGGGTTAGTATACATGATGAGACTTGCAAAAATAAAAATATTTTCTTAACATAAATTTAATTGTAAGTAATAAATACAAGCTGATTTCTTCAGAAATTGAATACGTCCGATACAGTAACTACTAACAACCGTATGCTAAATCATACAACAAAGCAAGGATTCCAGTACAAAGAACATTTTTGTCTGCATTTGGAAGAGCGAAAGAAGAAGATTCTTCCATTCACAAATCTAAAGGGAACTTGTATCTCAGTAACTTACTAAATTTTCTGTGCTTGTAAGCAGACCGCTATCTGCCTCCTTCACGGTATCATAAACACGCATCCCATTTTCTTATTTACCACCAGGTAAGTTACAACAACTTTTCTCTATTGTTAATGCACAGAGAACATTGTCTGAAGCCAGGCATAAATCCACAAAACACCTTGGCTCCTTTCCCACACCAATCTCCCTGAATGAAACACAAGTTCTCTGTTGTCATTTAATTGAAAGTGCTTGTGCGTACACTTCCTGGCCTTTTCTGGTTCTGAATTCTTAAATGTACAAACTGAACTTTCACAGAACGCTAGTAATTCACAGGACTTTCTGTCATTATAAACATGCTTTTAAAAGCGTTTTAAGGTCGCCTTGAACAAAATAGTGCCTAGTGCAACACAATTCAAATTTCAACTTCATCCTATTAATTCCTTGTGCAAAATTAAGCGTATAAATTAGCAGAAGCAGAAACAATTCTCCCTTTAAAATGCTGGTAAGGACACTGGCATTTCTGCACTGACATGGAACAAAATTATCAATATCATGTCTGTTAACATCAGTTAACATTCTGAGGTCTCCCTCTCCTTTCCCATCCAATGGCTCAGAGACAGAATTAAGGTACTGTTATTTACTACTCCACTCCACAGCTAATGACAGGAATAAAAGGCCATCTATTACAAACTACTTTAAGATCCCACAAATGTTATACATTGTCATTTAGCATACCTGGTATTTTCGTTATATTCATAAATTTGAACCTTAGCCAATATATTTGGACTGTTGTCATCACTTCCTACAGCTATCATTGGAGAATGTGCTCGAGAGCTAAAAGGTAAAAACAAATACTATTATATTTACAAATGGTTTCACAGAAAGTACACCAAGCCATTTTTTTAAATTTCAGACACATTATCTATAAAGAAAACAAAATAACAAAAAAAAAAAAAATCACAAGGCGGCGGGGGGAAAATCACAAGGAAACATGCGTAAGTGCTATTCACAGTTACCGGTACAATCTCCATTCTGTTGTTTTGAACGCCCACTTCATACACCCACTAAGGAGAAATCATTAGGGAACATTATTTGGCAACTCAAGATGATGCTCCCAGGAGTAGGATTGATTTTATACATGCATCTTCAGTCAAGTATTTGCCACAAGTTTCATGGCAGAGTCTGCGTTCTTTGCAGTACTTTTAATGATTGATTTAGTGGGATTTCATTCAGGTTTTGGAAGACAGGTTACAAAAGCTACATGTAGATGAGTTCTAGTTTTTAAATCAACTTTTAACCCCATCCCATGCATTAAAGAGAAAGCCTGTACTCTGTACCTTCAGCACAGACTACTACTAATGAATAGAAGAATAACGGGATCGGGAGGACACAGACCTCCCTGCTTCTGTAGGGAAAGCCATTAAGTGCTTCTGGACAAACAGAATCCAAAGCAGTTCAGATTGCTGGGGGAGGATGTGAGATGGGAAGCGAAGGAGAACCTCTGCTTGTATGTGTTCTTCTGGGTGGGGACTACCCAACCAAACTCCTCTCTGATTCCTTCCTGTTCAAGGAGGTTAAGTGTATCATTGAGCCCCTGAGGATATAACTAAAAGAACAATTCTTAGGCTTTCTATTTGTGCTACCAAGACTCTTGTGGTTCCTAGTACTCTGTTGCACTGGCAAGGGTGCATGTCCTCGTTAGAGTTGTCAAAATTATTACCTATTGCAACACCTTCCTTAAGAAAGAAGAAAGAGACGGGAATTGTCCCTTTATAAACACTTTCTCTTCTGAAAATCCCAGTTAAGTTTTGTGGGATAAATAAAGAGCACTCCGTAGCTCTTTAGCTCATTACTTGCTAAAAATAATTAAGCTGGGAATATTTCCTCACAGAGCACTGGAGGACTTTTTGTAACACTTCTCTGGTTCTGCCAAACTTGCTTTATTAAAAGAAGTGTTAGCAGCTTTCTTTCAGATCCGAGTAACGTACACTCAATCTTCTCCATGCATATTTTAGGATTTATTCTATAAAATTTCAGAACTAACTCTTGGATCTTCTGCTTCAACAGTCATAAAGCAAAACCTACAGTTTTAATAACATACCTTGAAGGATTCCAAGAAATACAACTGCAGCTTAGTTTACATGAGATTTCATGCTGCAGTGACCACTGACTGAGATTCATCACATCTGGAGCTTCATAAATCCTTACAACTCCATCTGCTGAACAGGTTGCTAACATAAGACCCATATGCTTGGGAGCAAACTTCACATCTGTAACAGATGTCCTACTGTCTACTAGAGTGGTCCTCTTTACCTGCAAAGAAAGACAGAAATTCTTGAAGGAAATACTAGAAAACTCCATCAAAAATTTATTCCCTAAGGAAGGCTAATGAAAGTCTGACAACACCATTTCATAGGATCACTTACCTCTTCCATCAAGAACTAAAAAAAAAAAAATACACACCAATGAATTGGAGAAACAACAGATCATTGCAGTGATGCAATTTCAAGCATCAAGAGATACACGGACAGTGGTATCAAAGTTCTGATACCAAAAAGAGTTGTTTAGATTATGCTCTTCAGGAATAAAAAAAAAAAAAAAACCCCACACATAAAAAACTAAAAAAAGGTGAAAGAGGGTCTTGCCATTAAAGCTGAAGGTGCACAATAGAAAAAGGAATTTTGCAGCTGCTTAAAATTTAAAAAGGAGACCAAGTGTGCAGGTTGGGTACCCTCAGCCCCCCTCCTCCGTTCTCAAAAGGTCAGAGGAAAGCAAGAGATAATTACAATTCTAGCAAGCAGTCTCCCAAAAAACTTAGAACTCAAGCTTACAATTAAAATTCTCATTTTCATGTAAATTTTTAATGCGTAGTAGAAAGCCTGATCTGCATACATTTGGCGGAAAAGGAGAAGAATCATTAAAACTCTGGCTGTTGAGCTGCAGCACAATTTAGAAAACAAACATT